TGTGGGACAATGGTCTGTATCCTTTCAATTATATTTTAAATAAATGCTGATTGGCCATTAGCCAGACAGGAAATATAGGTGGGACAACTAGGCAGGAAATAGAGGCAGGGTGACAGCAACAGGAGAATTCTGGGAAGAAGAAAGCTTGGTCCACAGTCCTGACCCAGCCACAGAAGAAGCAAGATGTGACTGCCACACTAAATAAGGTACCGAGCCACGTGGCTAACGTAGACAAGAATAATGGGCTAATACAAGTTATAAGAGATAATAAGAAACCTGAGCTAATGGGCCGATCAGTTTATAACTAATGTAGATCTCTGTGTGGTTTCTTTGGGACTTAACGACTACAGGAACCAGGCAGGACAGAAACCCAGTCAACAGGATATGCTAAAATAGAATTCTGAGAACGGTGGCCATTGCAGGAAGAACAAAAATATTGCTTCATTTGGAGTTCTGCTTCAACCTGAGGGTCCATATTCATTTGTAGCACAGAATAAAGGGATCACTAGAGGTCTCTGTGATTCTTCAGAAAGACATTCAGTGTATGACAGTATATTTTTATTCAAATAAAGCAAAATCAGTGGTTCTCAACCTGTGGGTCATGACCCCTTTTAGGGGTTTCATGTCAGATATTTACATTACGATTCATAACAGTGACAAAATTACAGTTATTAAGCAGCAATGAAATAATTTTATGTTTGGGGGCCACCATACCATGAGGATCTGTATTAAGGGGTCACAGTACAAAGTACAAACATTTCCTCATGCTCCACTGGTCCCCTAAGTCAGAGGCAAACTTACCCACTAAATAGAAAGAGCTTTTTTTTTAAAAAAAAAAAAAAAAGGAAAAACTTTTAGGCTACTCATTTCAAAGCTATTAGTGACAGAAAAAAAATCAGAAAAATAGTCTTCCATTTGTTAAGTTTTTTTTTTTTAAACTGTAATTTCCATCTGTGGGAGAAGGGTACCTTTTTTGTTGAGACTCAGATGATTAGAATGAATGGGAGATTTCATAAATCCCGATGAAATCAGCTTTATTTATTCACAAAGATACATAGCACTCGGGGGACATTATTTTTCCCTTGCCCAAAAGGTGTATTTGAAAGTTAGGCAGTAAATCCCTAATATAAACCTGCTTTGAAGTGCAGGTTGTAATATACACTTTCGTCGCTAGGGGGAGCCATGTATCCACTTAATTTGTTAACTTGCTCCAAGCCATGCAGGCAGGTCTGGTGAAGTCCCATTTCAGCTGTTAAGTGTGTCTTCTACCATGCATGATGCTTTTGAACAGAACAAGGTACTTCAAATCACAAAGTGGTAAATTTCAAGGCAAATTCTGACCTTAGCAAAAATATGTCCCGTATTTCTGCACCATTTCCCCTACCTATATAGTTGTAGTATTTCCACTGCATTTGGTTACCATTTAATTCAGATAGGACAATAAATAATATTAGATGGCAGGTGAACTGAAATTACATTTGTGGTTAATTTACACATACTTTGTATCCAAAGCACACTTAAGTACAAGACAAGAAAAAGTACTATTGTCTAGCAAATTTGGAGTGTATAACCTCTCCCAGTTCTATATAAGGCTGGTAATACTGGGATAAAGCAAGCAATCACTCTGCATCCATCATGCTTGTAATACCACTGGTTAGTAGGGCTCCTTTTAGAATTTTCCAGCAAGTAGGAAAACTGAATTAGTGGGAGGGTAAAATGATATAAGGGAAGAAGAGAAAGAACTAATAATTTTCTAGCAGTTATTACCTACCTAGGCATATATGTGTGTGTGTGTGTGTGTGCGAATGTATATATGTACGTGTATATACACATATAACTGTATATATTTATACATATACATACACACACACATATATGAAATCACTTTGATTCTCAATACTACTAATCAACTAATACTTCCAATACTTTATAGATAAGAATACAGGCTTAGAAAAGATGTGTGACACACGTGAGTGTTTCAGATCTAGCATAGGCTCTAGGATCCCATAAGCAAACAAAACCAAACATACAAACAAAAGCCTCTGGCGGGGTTGTGTTCAACACCTCACACTAGCGCTCAGTTGCTGTGTAGGATAGTAAGGGCACCCATCTGGTAGTACACAGTACAGGGATGCTTTGTGCATGCCTGCGAGAGTCCTGTGTGCCAGAAGCAGAGCTGACAATGAATGGCACAGGGTTGTGACTGTGCAAACTCCACCCCAGAGCCTCCTGTACCTTTTGGGCCTTTAACACAGTAAAGAATACTCTTGAGTTCCTTTGTATTTTTTCCTGGTCACTTGCATCGACAGATGTGACTTCTGATCGTAAAGGTATAGAGGACACATCCAGTTCTGGAGTACTATAGTGCCACTATAGTGCCAGCTAGCAGACACTCCCAGCATCCTCGGATTTAATTGCCACCTGATGGGTTTAAGTCTTCTTAGATAAAGTTCAAAATCATGGTACAGTGTTTCATACCCAGAGGTGATAGACAGCAGACTGTTGGGACCAGCGTGAGTTTGTTTGTTTTATTCAGTTCAGTAATGGATTTCCTAAGATGCTGCTTATGAGTGCTAGACTCAAAAAATAGCCTCTAACTATCTTTTACTTAAAGCATTCAAATTTAGTAACCATGCAATATCTAAATTGTAAATATCCAATGACACAGTGGTTCATAAAATGTAATCAGAATCCCCGTCATCTGAATTCCTTGCAAGGATGTGGAAATTAAATAATTCCAACATTTCAAGATTCAATGCCATTTAAAGGCAATATTTCCTTTATTAAATTCTGACATTAATTAAATACTATAGAGAGCTCTACAGAAAACCAAAGCCTCACATTTTTTTTCTAAATCATCAGACAGAACTGTTGAGATCACATATAAGATAATAGGGATTTTCCTACTTGCATTATGCTAATACACCATCATCATAATGCAGGTTACAGCTTAGTTTATACACCAGTAGTCCTATGGCTAACATTAATTTATTCCATATTCCCAGTGCTAGACATACCCACATTCAATAAATTTCAAGGAAATAAGCATTATTTCTGCAAGATGATCTTTGCTAATAAAATTTCTTTTTCAATTTGAAGTTAGTACAGATAAACTTTTCCCCACCACTAGGTGACTTTGTATAATGTTTGTGACTGTTTTCCGTGTCCCCTATTTAGTTTTTTCTGTATTTAGAAATATATGCTGGACTGACCTCAAGATACACTAACATGAACGACAGATACTGTAGGCCAAGTCTCCTGCATGGCCCATAGGAATCTCTGCTGTGAAGGAGCTCGGTGTTTGGTAGGAAGTAAGCTTTGGCTGCTGAGAAACTTATTCTCTTTGGGTCATTCTTCTGTTCCATATTATTTAAGCATAAGCTCACAACCAGACAAATAACCATAAGCCACACATCACCAGACAATTGGGCTACAGAGAGTTTCCTGGCTGTGTGTTGGAAGGGACTGATCTGCATATCACAGTCATCAATAGTTTTATAAAGTTGGAGAGACAGTAGAGAAGAGGTCCTTCTCTCACACTGTGACTCAGAGGCAAGTGCCCCTGCCCCACATATCCTGTAAACCTTAAAGTAGTTAAGATGGCTCCATTTACTTACTCCACTTACAAAGGCCTTTAGTGGTTTAAATTAAGACACAAGGAACCCTAAATGATACTTGAGATGAACCTGAGAGAGATAAGTGTTTGGAGATATTCATGTATTCATAAAGTAAGCACTGTGCATACTTTAGTCAGACAAAAATACTAAGAAGCATAATGTTTCTCATTATAAAAAGCAATTATTATGCTTAGGTATGACTTTAAAAGATCCTGACATTTAACATATTTGATGAATGTGCAATGTGCGGATCAGAGCTGGGTAGCGTCCTAGAGGGTCTCATCATTAGGTTTATAATGTCCCGTTTCGTCAGAGGACCATGAATGCAAATACAAGAGCTGGGAAGCAGAACATCTACTCCAAAATGGCACTGTCCTGCTTAATCCCCACAATACTTCATGGCAAAAATAACTAAACCTCACCAATTAAGTTAAGGGATTGGTTTCCTATTGACTGAGTTACAAAATGATATTTATGTGTAGTGATTGTCCTTGTCCCGAACTCACACTCCCGGCCATTCACCCACAGGAACATCAAAACAACATATTATGCTGTAAAGGAATAAATGATTTTTTTAGCTTATGCCTTTATTTCTTATCTCTTTTCTCCACGTGATAATGAAGATCTCATTTGCCATGCATAGACACTTACATTCCCTTTTCTGAGAACGTTTCTGATATCGTGGGTTAAAGAAATGCCATTTCTTTAAAAGGTTGTCCTATTAATCTACAGCTGTTGGTAAATATCTAAGTTATCCAGTTAGCTAATTTGTTTCTAGGGCCTAAGAATGAAGAAAGACTAGCTGCCACATTCAATCCAAAGGAGTCAATAGATATATGAATATTTATAAGAACATCGATATTGACATGGTCTTACAGTCATGCTTGAAGCTAAATAAAAATCTGAGTAAATTACCACAAATATCACAGTATAGTAGGATAAGAGCTAAAATATATGTACAGATTCATTGACAACATCTGTGCAAATATTGTGGACAAAACATTTAAAAGAAATTTACACAAAAAGTAGATAAATTTATCAAATATTGATAAATTTTCAAAGACAGTATAAAAGTACACAGAACATGGAAAAGAGAACGATTTTTTTTAAAGTAGCCACTATGCCCATACATAGAGTGCACATTAACTACATTTATAATTCAGAATGATGGAAATCAGAGACAAAAACGATTTGGTAACAAACAGCAAAGAAAGTTCCACCAATCACAAAGAAGAAAGACATTCTCTTGGGAGATGAAAACACAGATGCCGAGCCCCTCCCCTCCCCATCCACACAGAGAGAAATCAAAGCAAACTCAAACATTGTCTACAGCAACACAGGACAGACAGGTGGGAGGCATTTGGTATGTTGCATCACAGGAAGTCAATCACGATTGGCTAACGATGATGGTACCTGGCTCTGTTGTAGGTCACTGGCTTGTCTGAGAGGAGTCACTGAAGGAGGAGGAACTCCTGATGTAGATGCAGATCGGCCTAGCTTGCAGCTTACTTTAGGTTCTGTGAACAAGGAGGAGACAAAACATTAGCTCAGAAACATTTGAGTTGGTGGGTTGGAGCTCTTCCTCCACTCTTGGTTTGCTGTGTGTGGGCATATACAAAATGCTCCTGATATTGTTTAATAATTATGCCAGAGATAAAGATTTTCATAACTACTTGTTCTAAAAGGCGCTTTATCCAAAGCCGAGTTCCTGTGGAGGAGAGACAGAATCCCTTCAAGCACGGGCCTTGTTTCCCTGCACAATTAACTACAATTAGTTTCCATGGAAGAACACCACCCCATTCAGGGGTAAAACAAGTTACTCTTTTTTAGTTCATCTTTAGTTTTGGTTCCTAGGAATCCATGACCCCAAAACGTCTTACCTACCCTCTCCTTTTTTATTTCTCTCTCTTCCTCCCTCCCTTCTTTCGATTCTTCCTCCCTCCTCTGATCGCCTTTTCTTTTCCCCTCCACCTCTTCCTCCCTCCTTTCCATTTTTTCTTATTTCTATGACTATGTTTAACACGCTTTTAATATAACACTGTTTTCAACTTCTCTCCATTTTCTTTCTACAGGCTGACTGATAGATTTTAGTATGTGTGCTTACGTGTGCGCTCACATGCACGCATGCATGTTTGGAACATATACATGGCATGGCGTGTACGTGAGTGGAAGACAGAGAAGACACCTTATAGGAATCAGTTATCAGTTTCTATGTTTGCCAGCAATTTTCTTTCCCACTAGGAAATCTTATAAGCCCTCCATTCATTTTGAGTTTTATAATTATCATCTGAATCATTTGCAATCATTTGGGTAATCATTTTATAACTACCATGTAAAATGAACCAGACTGAGCACAGTGACCGCAATCTTTCTCTTGCCCTGAAAGCGTTTCCATTCTCTTTTGAGGAATGCAGACCCTACACAGCAATCAGGCATTTGATTGTGACAGCAGCTGTGATGAGTCTCCCGAACGACTGTATGCACAGCCCCCAAATGGTGCAAAGGATGTGTGGTGAAGACATCGAGTATCCATACTCCGAGGAATTTCATTTTTTCACAGGAGGCAAATGCTGCATCGATACTCATCTGGTGGTAGTTTGGAAAGGAATTAGAAAGGAGACATAGTCTGGGACACCTCACTCAGGATAGTGTTTTCTATTTCCATCCATTTGCATGCAAAATTAGAGAAGTCATTGTTTTTTACTGCTGAGTAGTACTCTAATGTGTATATATTCCACACTTTCTTCATACATTCTTCCATTGAAGGACATCTAGGTTGTTTCCAGGTTCTGGCTATTACAAATAATGCTGCTATGAACATAGTTGAACAAATGCTTTTGTAATATGACAGGGCATCTCTTGGGTATATTCCCAAGAGTGGTATTGCTGGGTCCTGGGGTAGGTTGATCCCGAATTTCCTGAGAAACCACCACACTGATTTCCAAAGTGGTTGGACAACTTTGCATTCCCACCAGCAATGGATGAGGGTACCCCTTCCTCCACAACCTCTCCAACAAAGCTATCATTGGTGTTTTTGATTTTAGCCATTTTGACAGGTGTAAGATGATATCTCAAAGTTGTTTTGATTTGCATTTCCAAGATGAACATGGGATGTACTCACTCATAATTGGTTTCTAGCCATAAATAAACAACATTGAGTCTATAATTTGTGATCCTAAAGAAGCTAAATAAGAAGGTGAACCCAAAGAAAAACATATAGTTATCCTCTTGAATATGGGAAGTAGACAAGATTGCCAAGCAAAAATTGGGATCTTGGGGGAGGGGTAGGATAGGGGTAAGGGGAGATGGGGAGAAAAATGTGAGAAGGGGAGGATGGGGGGAACTTGGGGAATTGGGATGGTTGGGATAAAGGAAGGATGGATATGGGAACAGGGAAGCATATATCTTAATTAAGGAATCCAGCTTAGGGTAGGCAAGAGACCTGAACCTAGAGGGGCTCCCAAGTGCCCAGGGGGATGTCCCCAGTTAGTGCCTTGGGCAGCTGATGATAAGGAACCTGAAATGGCCCTATCCTATAACCACACTGATGAATATCTTGCATAACACCTTAGAACCTTCATAGGGCGATGGATGGAGATAGAGACAGAGACCCACACTGGAGCACTGGACTGAGCTCCCAAGGTCCCAATGAGGAGCAGAAGGAGGGAGAACATGAGCAAGGAAGTCTGGACCGTGAGGGGTGCACCCACCCACTGAGACAGAGGGACTGATCTATTGGGAGCTCACCAAGGCCAGCTGGACTGGAACTGAAAAAGCATGGGATAAAACCGGACTCTCTGAACAATGAGGACTGATGGGAAGCCAAAGACAATGGCACTGGGGTTTGATCCTACTTCATGTTCTGGTTTTGTGGGAGCCTAGCCAGTTTGGATGCTCACCTTCTTAGACCTAGATGGAGGGGGGAGGACCTTGGACTTTCCACAGGGCAGGAAACCCTGACTGCTCTTTGGACTGGAGAGGAATGGGGAAAGGAGTGGGGGGAGGGGGAGTGGTGTGGAAGGAAGGGGAGGGAAATGGGAGGCTGGGAGGAGGCGGGAATTTAAAAAAAAAGAAAGGAGACACAGCACACTGCTGTTCATTGGATTTATGCCTTCTCCTGGGAACCTGGGAAAGAGAGGACCTGGTGATGCTGTATAACAGGTGGCACAGTCTAGTGTGAGCAGGACTCGGGAACTATGGAAGCGAGGCAGAAATTCCATTTTTCCAGGATGCATTTCTTTCATTTACTATATTACTATACATCCCACATAAATAGTAATAAGTAAAATATGCTATTTCTCAGGATATAGATCCTGTAGAGTAGAGCTAACAAGGAAGAAAAACAATATAGGACAGCAATTACTTGTAAAGTTTATAGAAAATGCTGGTACCTTAGTTTCTGTTGCTGTGATAGATAGAATACTCAGATGAGAGCAATTTACAAGGGAATAGAATTTACTCTTCTCCCAGTTAAACGGAGATGGAGGAGAAGCCACTGTCTAGAAGACTTGAGGCAGTTCACCACATGGTGTTCAGAGTCAAGAAGCAGAGTGTGATGAATACCTGCATTCAACTCACTTTCTCCTTCATGGACAGCCCAGTACCCCATCCCAGGCACAAGTCCTACCCATGGCAAATGAATCTTCCCAACTCAATTATCCCAGGGAAGAGAATTACCCACCAATATGCCCAGAGATTGTCTCCAGGTGAATCCAGATGTCGTTACATTGAAAATTAGGAATAACCATAGCACCTGTAATGTACGTCCCTGGTGGACACTGGCTTTTATTATCCCTGAACTCACAGATGCCGATACATGTACTGCATACACTCATGCTTGCATATAGGTGTGCAGTGAACCTTACCTCTATTTCCCTTCTATGTTTAGTGAAACTGACTACATTCCTCTTTGTTCTTTCCATCTACTGCCTACACACCCTCCTCTTTCTCCATCCTGTCCTGATTGCTCTCTCTTTGTCCTTCTGGTCTGCACAGGGCAGCATTTCTTGCCTTCTAGTGTTTTCTCCTTCAGTCACATACAAGATTTGAAGGTCTGTTCTCTCCACATGCTCTTGTTTGGTCCTGGGGCTCAGTGCCTCTGCACATCAGGTCATTCTCATGCTTCTGAAAGAAAAGCCCAGTTCCCTCAAGTCTTACACTCACCTCCTGCTCCCCTCTAGCCCTGGTTTCCCAATGCATAGCAAGATTACTGCTTCCATTCTCCTGGAAAAATTGTGGACATTTTCAGCTCCTTGCCCCCACTCCACTTTATGTACATGAATAGTCTGGTTAGAATTTCAATTTTACTTTTCAAAATCTCTTGTTTGTCTTATTATTACCTCTGAGATCTTCTTACTGGCTCCCATAATATATATACTCAAAACAACCTTAGAATTCAAGCCAGACCGAATTTCCTAGATTGTTGTTGGCTTACCTCACTATTTAAATATTTGCAATGACCCCATGTTAATGTCACAAAAATAAAAATTACTTCAGAAATCCTCTGCAATCTGATACCATTTAGTAATGTCTACACTATGGTCCTTTATTCCCTGCTTTCTAGAACATAGACAATTCTTTCTCTGCTCATGGATGCAGCATGATCTACCTCTACTTCCCCTCACGTTCTTCCCATGCATAAACTTTCCATCAAATCAGGTCTCACTGATTGCAAATACTTTGATCTTGCTTCAATTCACATCTTCCAAATTTACTTAGTATGTATTCAGTGCTTACAACTTTTGAGCATTTCTAGTTGGAAGAGACCATAAAGTAGATGTTTAAAATTATTATATATTTTTCTATCACAGAAGATACTCAAACTCATCAATGTAAGGTCAGCACATCTTCTAAAACCAATCAAATAACACAGACTATGTTGTAAGACCTGGATCTGAGGTCTACATCTAACCCACATTAATGTGATAATTCTCACTCAAGGGTCTATGACCCTTTAGGACTCTTATCAAAAAACTTTAGCTATATGTGTGTGATTTGAATTGAGGGCATTTGAGTGAGTATATATTATATGAGAACACAGATAAAATGTCACTGTCACTTACACTCTAACCTAATTTACCAGGAAGCAGAAATCCTTGTGGAATTACTAAGGTAATATCAGTTTTTATCACATGAAATCACAAATAAAGCCTTCATCAGATTCCTGGTCAATAAGATCTCTACAAGAAATCAGTGAGTCTCTATTTCCCATAACTGGCTTAAGATATCTGATGAGAAATTTCAATATATTTTTCTTATGATAAGATCTTACATACTATTTGTTACTTCAAGGTTCCTTTCAAGATTATATTGATGATATTATCTGATAAAAAGCAACTGTCTGAACTTTTATACTGTCTAATGTAACCTAGGATTAATTTCCATTGCTAAGGTCCAGCCTTGACTTAATTACCATCTTCTCAATATAACCATTGATCTCTCTAATTTTCAGAGCACATATCAGTACCATCCAAACAAATGCCAGAATTCATTGCTTTGCCCCTGGAAGTCAATCCAG